GCCTTTCAGATAAATAAATAAATCTTTAAAAACAAAATCACAAGGAAGTGTTGCAACTATTCAATGTATTTACAGATACTTGAGTTTATAATTTATGTTTAGAACATTATTAAAAAATTAAATATACTTAACTATCGGGAGGGGGCTTTTTCTAATTCACAGATAACATCTATTGATATTAAATGTGAGACAAAGATATTAACAAAGGCTATCCTTCCAAATTTTCTATAGTAGACATGTACTACTTAATCAGAGAAGTCTAGTAAATTCAATTTTAAAAACAATCTTAACTAACATTCCGACTGAAAAGTTAAAGATTCAATATCATCTACAGAAAACAATTCTTAACTGTTTAGCCTAGACTGGGGGTGTGTGTGTGTGTGTGTGTGTGAGAGTTTCAACCCATTAATTATCCTACCCAAATTCTTATCATATCTGACATATTTTCAATCCACTCCCTACCTTCACTTACATATAAATTTTCCACTCCCATTCTTATCTGTTCCTACAAACATCCACTTTAACCTATTGGTTTTCTCATTTCCAGTCATATGTCAAGTCCTCCACCAACTCATACACTTCCTGTCTTGAGGCTAGCCACCTTCTAGATATACAGATACTCTATACATGTATGTACTTGTACATGGTAACATACGCAAGAGATGTAAGGTAAACAACCAGTGTTTGACAGTGGGCCTGAGTTACTTTAAGAGTTTTGGCTCAATTCCTATTTAGATAGTGTAGTGGGCAAGAGGGAATTCTGGTTTGGGGAAAATACTATGGGAACATAAACTAAAATTTATTATGGGAGGTGGGTAAGGCTAGTCTAGTGGTTAAAATACCCATGGCTTGTCTCAAAGTACCTGGGTTCAGTTATTAGGCTCTGGCTTCTAACTCCATCTTCCTGGTAAAGAGGACCGTGGGAGGCAGTAGTGATAATTCAAATAACTTGATTCACATGGGGAAGGTCATAGTCCCTTTAGAGTGACCAACAGATGGAGGATCGATTCTCTCTTTCTCCGTTTTTTAAGATAAAATTTATTATAATTTTAAGTAATCTTGTCTTCCCCATCCCCATTCTCCCCCAAAAAACAGTCATTTTCCATTCCCTATCTCAGCCAGTACTGGTTTCCACTAAGAAAAATCAATAAAAGACATCAGCAGTTTAAGTATACATTGAGAACAAGAATTCTGCTTTAAAGATAAGCCTGGGGGCCGGCGCTATGGCGTAATGGGTAAAGCCCCTGCCTGCAGTGCCGGCATCCCATATGGGCACCGGTTCAAGTCCTGGCTGCTCCACTTCCGATCCAGCTCTCTGCTATGGCCTGGGAAAGCAGTAAAAGACGGCCCAAGTCCTTGGGCCCCTGCACTCGTGTGAGAGACCCAAAAGAAGCTCCTGGCTTCTGATCAGCACAGCTCCGGCCGTTGTGGTCATCTGGGGAGTGAACCAGTGGATGAATGGGAGACCCCCCCCCCGCCTCTCCTTCTCTCTCTGTGTAATACTTTCAAGCAAAAATAAATACATCTTTAAAAAAAAAATGATAAGCCTGTAAAGAATCATAAGAATGACATACTGAATATTTTTTTTTTTGACAGGCAGAGTGGACAGTGAGAGAAAGAGACAGAGAGAAAGGTCTTCCTTTTGCCGTTGGTTTACCCTCCAATGGCCGCCGTGGCCGGCGCACCATGCTGATCGGATGGCAGGAGCCAAGTACTTATCCTGGTCTCCCATGGGGTGCAGGGCCCAAGGACTTGGGCCATCCTCCACTGCACTTCCCTGGCCACAGCAGAGAGCTGTCCTGGAAGAGGGGCAACCGGGACAGAATCCGGAGCCCCGACCAGGACTAGAACCTGGTGTGCTGGCGCCGCTAGGCAAAGGATTAGCCTGTTGAGCCGCGGCGCCAGCCAACATACTGAATATTGTGATTGAAATGGCATAAAGCTTCTCAGTTTATGAAATAAATGTTAGACTTACAGCAGTATCCACCAAAAATTCTGATTCTACAATACTGTACATAGGAAGAATAACTTTAAATTATAACTCACAGAATCTCTTCTCTTTCATCATCCCTTCCAGTTCTATAATTTTATCAAGCAAGACCATTAGGCATATATTATATCTAACCCTATGTCATATAAAGATTTAACCTAACATATTCATAAAAATTCTAATAAAGGACTTTAAAATCTTAATGGCTGGGCTGGCACTGTGGCGCAGCAGGTTAAAGCCTCGGCTTGAAACACCAGCATCCAATATGGGCACCGGTTCTAGTCCCAGCTGCTCCTCTTCTGATCCAGCTCTCTGCTATGGCCTAGGAAAGTAGGCCTAAGTCCTTGGGCCCCTGCACCCACATGGGAGACCCAGAAGACGGTCCTGGTTCCTGACTTCAGATCGGCTCAGCTCCGGGCATTTCAGCCATCTGGGGAGTGAACCAGAGGATGGAAGATCTATCTGTTTGTCTGTCTCTCTGCCTCTCGCTATCTCTGCCTTTCATATAAATATATAAATCTTAAAAAAAAATAAGGAAAGATCAAAGTATTCAAAACACCCTGATGTTCTTATAAAAAATTTAAATATGCAGAAGAGTTAAATTGCTCCTCCCATCATACTAAGCAAAAACCATCATTAAATCAAATTAGTTCTGGAGCAGCTCTAGAGATTAAAGAATGAATAATCTTGAAGAAAAAAAGAAAAGTTCTTTTCAGAGCTACTTAAATGCCTCCTGTTCATGGGGTCGGGGACAGGGAATTAAGCAAAGCAGAATAGTAACTTCTCCACAGATTCCCACTGTAAGATGAAAGACACATTCCCTAGAAAGCAATGCCATAATGGCATACAGTAAAGCTTTTCAATTAAGGAAGTGGATGGCCAGCTCTGACATGCTGAGAATTCAAGTACACAAATATTAAAATGCTAACTTCAGTTTTGTTCATTTTTCTTTTGTGGCATCCTAGACAACCAGAGTTTCTCTGAAGCCTAAGGATTCCTTTACATTCATGGCTCCAGCAATTCTGTATTCTTCTTCTCTCTCCTCTTGCCTTCCAAAACTGGGCAATTCCCACCTCCGTTATTGCTTACTCTAGTCATACTGATCTCCTCACCGTTCCTCAATATACAGACCCCTACCTTGGCATTTGGTAGATTCCCTCTGCCTGGACTGCTCATCTTTCACATACCCAATAGATGTTTCCCTCCATCACTCCTCTAGGTCTTCACTCATGTTACTGTTCTGGTTAACTTCTCTTGGCCATCCTGTTTAAAATTACATATACTCCTCTTTTTTTTTTTTTTAATTTTATTTATTTGAGAGGTAGAGTTACAGACAGTGAGAGGGAGAGAAGACAGAGAAAGGTTTTCTTCCCACCGGTTCTTTTTCCTTTCTCTATTTTCCTTTACTCTTTATCCTTTACCACTGTCACTAACTAACAGATGTTTCTTAATTGTCCTTCCACTAGAATGTACACTCCATGATTATGTGATTTTTCTTTACGTGTTATGCTCACTACTAAAGTCCCAGCATTCAGAATATTGCCACACCGTAGCAGGTAAAGCCACCGCCTGCGATGCCAGCATCCCAGATGGGCACTGGTTCAAGACCCGGCTGCTCCACTTCTGATCCAGCTCTCTGCTATGGCCTGAGAAAGCAGTAGAAGATGGCCCAAGTCCTTGGGCCCCTGCACCCACATGGGAAGACCCAGAGGAAGCTCTTGGCTCCTGGCTTCAGATCAGTGCAGCTCCGGCTGTTGCGGCCAGTTGGGGAGTGAACCAGCGGATGGAAGACTTCTCTCTCTGCCTTTCCTTCTCACTCTGTGTAACTCTTTAAAATAAATAAACAAATCTTTAAAAAAAATTGCCACATAAAACATTAGGTGCTCAATATGCTGAGTGAATAAATGATCCTGCTGACTGCAACATCACATGAAACTACTAGGTTCTGCAATCAACACTTCATACTCTGATCTGAAAGGTCTTAAGTAACAAATTAGGTTTAGGTTATTTTTCAAACCGCTCTGGGAACCAGAACAATCCCTCAGAGGTCACTGAGAGTAAGACAAGTAAGTCTAAGCAAGCAAATAAATCTAACATTTATCTGCTTTATTCACTGGACTTCAATTAAGATTTCCTTCGAAGAAAGGATTTAGTGACCATAAATCAGGCATACAACAACCTAATTCCTACTTTTACATTTCACTTGGTTACTGTAAATGAGGGTAATCTGGATATTATGTTTACATCTTTCAGAAAGAAATTAAAATAGTATCTCTAATCTTATTTAATAATCTACTACAAAAGCAATCAAAAATCACTATTTTCTAATTAAGATGGATAGAAAGTAGACTAAGCTTTTAAGAACAAAGTATAAAATATGTTATTTCATGTACAAGATTATCACCTCACTAACCTCACTTAGTTCACTAAATGGAGATTAAAAAACACATCCAAATTCCATTACCAAAAAAGAATCTTTCCACTTCTCCAAATTGCACCACTTAAGACAAACAATATTTTATTCTGAACCTCATCCTGAAATTAACTATAATGTGACTTGACCAGTGTAACTTTTTAAATGTTAGATGACCCAATAAAGAAAAAAGAAACAGGCCAGCACTGTGATTTAGCAGGTTAAGCCACTGCCTGGGATCTAGCATCACATATGAGTGCCTGTTAGTGTCCCAGTTGCTCCACTTCCAATCCAAATGCATCTGGCAAAGTAGAGGAAGATGGCCCAAGAGCCTGGGTCCCTGTCCCCTACGTGGGAAACCCAGAAGAATTCCCTGGCTCTCAACTTCAGCCTGGCTCAGCCCTGGCTATTGCAGCCATTTTTGGAGTTAATCAGTGGATGGAAGATCTCTCTCTCTCTCTCCCCCTATCTCTGTCCCTCCTTTCTCTGTAACTTGGCTCTTCAAATAGATCTTTAAAAAAAAAGAAAGCAAGCAGGAAAAAAAGAAAAGAAAGAGCAGTATGAGAAAACTAATTAAAAAGAAGAAAAACCACTCACCTTAATGAAGTTACAGATGGACAAGCCTGTCCATACAAACCCATCTGGCCACAAAGAGAATCTAAAAAGTAAAGAAGAATTAGTTATTAGATGCTCCTAAGTAAATGAAACTATAAATCACGCTACAATTCTAGTTGAAACACTCAGAAAACAGAAACAGAAGGTTAAAAGAATCACTATTATCAGAACACAAACCCAAATGAATAAAAATGCTGAGAGGTAAAGAGATATAACACTAGACAAACATACCAGAGGCATAAGAGAAAAAGGGATAATATAACTGTAACATGCTGGGGCCGGCGCTGTGGCATAGTGGGTAAAGCCACCGCCTGCGGTGCCGGCATCCCATACGGGCACTGGTTCAAGAACCGGCTGCTCCACTTCTGATCCAGCTCTCTGCTATGGCCTGGGAAAGCAGTAGAAGATGGCCCAAGTCCTTGGGCCCCTGCACCCACATGGGAAACCCAGAAGAAGCTCCTGGCTCCTGGCTTTGGATCGGTACAGCTCCGGCCTTTTCAGCCATCTGGGGAGTGAACCAGTGGATGGAAGATCGATCTCTCTCTCTGCACCTCTCCTCTTTGTGTAACTGTGATTTTCAAATAAAATAAATAAATCTTTAAAAAAATAATAACTGTAACATGCAAACAAACTGAGATCTCACAAAATCTAACAAATGGTTATGCTTACATTATAGAAAGCCTGTATCCAAACTACACAGTAGCATCCCAGGGATTTCAGAGGTGTCTAAAAGCTACTACAGGGGTAGGCATACAGGTTCCCACTCCCATGTAATTGTCCTCCCTTCATCTACTCTTCAAAGCATTGCTACTTTTATTGATCTTATATATGGGACTTTACTAAGACTTCATCTGAAGAAACAGTTCTGTTGCTTTAAAGAGTTGGTAGCACTGAAGAGGAGGAGCATGTGTAAGACAGTCCTAGTTCAAATGCTAACTGTGACACTACTGAGGCCTTTAAGAATTTATATAACCTCACTGAATCTCAGTTTTTTCAGCTGTAACTTGCTGTTAATACCACCTATATAACTTTATTTATTCATCAGGGATAAATTGCAGGTTTGTTGTTAGAATTAAATAAGTGAAGGGCAGGCACTGTCGCAGTAGGTTAATCTCTGCCTGCGGCATTGGCATCCCATATGGGTGCCAGTTCTAATCTCAGCTGCTCCTCTTCCAATCCAGCTCTCTGCTATGGCCCGGGAGAACAGTGGAAGATGGCCCAAGTCCTTGGGCCCCTGCAACCACGTGGAAGACCCAGAAGAAGCTGCTGGCTTTGGATCCACTCAGCTCTAGTCATTGCAGCCATTTGGGGAGTGAACCAGAGGATGGAAGACCTTTCTCTCTGTCTCTCACTCGAAGGAAAGGAGGGAGGGAGGGAGCAAATGAGAAAAGTATCTATTATACCACTAGTACCTGGCACATGGCATAGTATAAATATTTTCATTAGCCACAAGGCTGATCCACAAATGTCTGTAAGTAAAATAAATGAGAATAAGTTTAGGTGTATACAGATGCATGTAGTGCACACATGCAGACTGAGCAACTAAGAACATGTTGAGTCTGAAGACATCAGTTGCTACTTCCAATTCTAGCCAAAGGTTATAATCCCAGCACTGTAAAAATTTCCAATTATTCAAGTGAAACAAAGATACCTAAAATTGTATTTTGAAATGTGTTGGTTTTATTTTCTAAACAAATACTATGTGCACCAAACAAACCACTAATTTCATTTTAGGTTTATAACCTTTAGAGGCTGAATGAATTCCATGTCTAGTTGTCCCTGCAGACACCAAAGAAAAAGACACTCTACCTCTTCTAGAATTTCAGCAGAGATGCCTTGATTATCATATCCACTGAAAGCAACTAAAATGCTGTGTAAAATGTTTTTAATTGTAAATGAACAAAAATCTGACAGAAAATAAGGTATGATCAGAGACCAAAAACTAAGTCAAAGGAGGGAAATTAGGTATACAGAATACTGAAGTCTAAGGTGTAAGAAGGGTTCAGGTCTCACACAAGAGATCTTAAACAAGAGAATTATATAGAAAATTGCTCTTTATTGATCTTAGCACTCAGGGCTAAAGAGGTAATGGGAAGCTATAGTAGCAGTACAGCAGTGTCTCCCTGCTACTGTACAACCAGAAACTGACCCCTTCTACAGATTATGATTTTAAAAGCTTCAGAACTAAAATTTTGCTTAGGATAATTGCAGAATGAGAGTGTCCCCCACCCATTTTTACAAAAACAAATGTGAAGTCTGAGAGAATTCACTTTTGATGTAGGCCCAGAAAATTCCCACAGGTAAGATCCCAAAATAAAAGAATTCAGAACAAAAAAAAAAAATCATAAAAGGCAGAGGCTGGCATTGTGGTGTAGGTTAGACCGCCACTTGGAATGTCAGCATCCCAAATCTGAGTGCCTGATTCAAATATCAGCTACTCTATGCTTTCAATCCACCTTCCTGCTAATGCTGCTGGGAGGCAGCAGGTGATGGGCCCAAATACTTGAGTTCTTGCCACCCAAACAGAAGTCTTAGATGGAGATCCTGGCTCATGGCATTGGCCTGGCCCATCACTGGCTTGATTTTTCAAGTCTTATATTTTAATTGCCTGTACACAGATGAATCTCAAACCTTCATCTCAGGCAGGGACCAATCTCCTGATCTCCAAACATAAATATCTAATATTCCCTCCTAGAAATCCCAAACTTACCATGTCTAAAACTGAATTTGCTTTATATACTTCCTATCTTGATAAAGCCTGTTCTTCTAAGAATAACTTTTAGATTTCTAGCCTAATCTTTCCTTTTATTAGAGCAGAATACTTCTAACTCTTGATTTCTCTGAGGAATGACTTCTCTAAAACTTCTGGCCTTTTAGCCTACTCCCTCCAAATAGAGAACATGGTTAGTGGGTACAGCTAACTGAACCATAGACCTGAACACCAGATATTTAGTTTTTTTCTTCCCTCTCCATCCAGGACTCTATAATACAGTGATCTAGGTGTGTCTGCTCTGCTGATCCAAACATCCAGGCCAGGTAAGCTGTCCATGGGCATGTAGAAATGAGAGGTGTGGAGGGGTTGGAGAGTTTGCCAACTCGGCTCTTAAACCTAAGCCACCTTGAAGGTTAAACAGTTACTGTAAGACCCAGAAACTCTACTTATATGTATCTCCAAGATAAATTTATGTTCCTACAAAACCTTGCACACAAATGTTCACAGCAGTATTATTTGTAAGTCAAAAAATAGAAATGATACAAATGTCCAAAAACTGATGAACAAAATGAAGTATATCTACAAGTATATAATATCCATGTAGCAGACAATGGGATAAACTGTTATTACACTGTACAACATGGAAGCACCTTAAAAGTCATGTGCAAAGTGACGAAGTCAGACATAAAAGGCCACATATGAGGCCCTTGGACCTAGCAGTTAAGACTGCATCCCACATCAGAGTGCCAGGGTTCAAGTCCCAGACCTGCTCCCAATTCCAGCTTCCTGCAAGTACAAACCCTGCAAGGCAGCAAGGCTCAAGTAATTGCGGCTCTGTCACTCACATGGGAGACCCAGATTGAGTTCCTGGCTCCCAGCTTCAGCCTGGCCTAGTACCAACTGTGGCAGGCAGTTGGAGAGTAAACTAGCAGATGGAAACTGTCTCTCAAATAGACAAAAAAAGTGCCACATATTTTATGATTCCATTCATACAAAATGTCCAGAATATGGGGCCGGCGCCGTGGCTCACTTGGTTAATCCTCCACCTGCGGCGATGGCATCCCATATGGTGTCCAGGTTCTAGTCCCGGTTGCTCCTCTTCCAGTCTAGCTCTCTGCTGTGGCCAACGAGGGCAGTGGAGGATGGCCCAGGTGCTTGTGCCCCCGCACCCGCATGGGAGACCAGGAAGAAGCACCTGGCTCCGACACAACGCCGGCCGTGGCGGCCATTTGGGGAGTGAACCAACGGAAGGAAGACCTTTCTCTCCATCTCTCTGTCTATAACTCTACCTGTCAAATTAAAAAAAAAAAATTGTAACAAAATGTCCAGAATAGGTAATTCCACAGAGATGGAAAGTAGATTAGCTGATGCCAAGAGATGGGGAGGTGGAGGGAGATGACAGGATGGTAGATGAGGAATGATTGCTAAAAGATTTCTTTCTGAAGTGATGAGAAATGTTCTGATAGTACAGATGGCTGCACAATCTTGTGAATATACTAAAACCACTAAATTGTACATTCTAAACTTATGAACTTTATGGTATGCAAAATTTATCTGGATAAAGACTAATTTTTAAAAATGTACTATCTTGTTTCTTCAATCTGTTGGTTCTCATTTCTCAAGCCAGTTGAGACTCAGGTAAGGGGAAATATTCTTACACATTAAGTTACCAAAACATCAACACCCTCAAGACTCCTGAGTTACCATTTACTACTAATTCTAACTCCTACTAATCTTCCTCATCTTTTCTAGCCTCAATGCCCTAGTTCAGTTTTCTCCACTTTTCATATGAATTACTGCCACTAAATGGTGTCCTGACCTTGGGCTTATTGACTGAAAGAATATACAATCATCTTTTCCATACCAGGCAACCGAATTTCATAAAAGGCTAAAAGTTCACACTAAAATCAGGAAATTTCAAAATGTACCCTCCTAGTTATAATCATGTTTCCATGGCACCAACTGTAGTTGAACAATTACATTAATTCATTCAATTACATTCATAATTGATATGGTTTAAGTAGGTGCCAAAAGTATCTGGTAGCATTTTCTCCAAATCCTTTGAAAGCCATTAGGCATCAAGAAATCTGGTGAAGACTGATACAACCAGAATACAGGTAGCAAAAGTTGTCATACACTAATGGGTATGCAGGTTATGTAGTGTATCATATTCCATCACCAGTAGAATCATGTGGAATTCCTTTTAATATAAACAGTGTTTAGGTAATATTAAACTGTTACAAACTATTAGGAAACAACCGTTGTAACAGTTGTATAGTAATACTTTATTTTATGGCGAAAGATGAAATCAGACTAAGTATTTTCAAAAAGCCCTAGTAATTCTTATGACCTTCTCCCATAGATATAATGCTTTATAATTACAAAGAACTTAGAACATTCATGATCTTGAGTCTGAAGGCCCAGATTTAAGTCCCAGCTCTCACAGTTATTGTATGGCCTTGAATATATTGTTAACTTCTCTGAGGCATACTTCTCTGCTCTGTAAAATGGGGGGAAAAATCTGTGCTTAAATTATTATGACAGTAGCTTGAATAAAAACATCTGCATCATATTAGACAAACAAAATGTAAGAATTAAACGTGCACTAGAAATGAACACTACAGCACTAAAGGTCAAGAAGCTATTCCTTTTTGTTTTTTTACTTCTGAATTCCACCCCAACAATCAAAAGGCCTGAAAGTATGAAACTTACTAAGATCCATGAAGAATGATTCAGGCTACTTGATTGAACACGGTGAATAGTTATACCATTAGTCGCAGGTAATCATTAAAGCAGCTGTAGAAATAACCTGTGTCTTATTTAATCAACCAGAATAGGGGAAATCTGCCAGACTAAAGTGTAAAGGGAAAAGATTCTTGCAGAGTGAACAGTAATCAGCTGTTCATCACAGCCCACTAGGTAAACCTGAAGGCAGTGGTGCAGCTTGAGCTAAGAAGTCATCTGCTTGAGATCTCAAGACTCATCCGCTTTCAGAGAGACTGAAACCATGATCCTGAATTTACCATAGGAATATCAGTAGAGGCCAAACAAGTAATTAAGAAATGAGGAACTGTTTTGTTTTGTTTTGTTTTTTAAGAACCTCGATAAAACTGTACTATAGATAGCAGCAAGTGATTTAAGGGCAAGAAAGGCAACAGTGTTAAATGTACACCAAAACAGACATAAACTGAAGAGAAAATATTGGCTTTTAATAAAAGATAACACTAGCAGAATGGCTGCATCCCTGCCATTCATGTGAGAGGTCTGGACTGAGTTCCTAGCTCCCAGTTTTGGCCCCAGCCTCAGTCCCAGTCCTTGCAGGCATCTGGGGAGTGGACCAGCAAATGGGAGCCCCTCCTCTCTCCTCTCAAAATTTTTTAATGAAAAAGATTTGAATACACAGTTCTACAAAGAAGATATGTGACTGTTCAATGAACATAGGAAAACATTCAACATCATTAGTCACTAGGAAAATGCAAATCAAAACCACAGTGATACCACTTCACAGTGTTACCACTAAGATGGCTAAAATCAAAGACACGTGGTGGGGGCAGCTTTATCGAGCAACAGGTTAAACTGCCACTTGTGATGCCAATATCCCATATCAGAGTGCCAGTTCAAATTCTATCTACTCCTCTTCTGATCTGGCTTCCTGATAATATGTCTGGAAAGGCAGCAAAAGATTGGCCCTGCCACCCATGTGGCAGACCAGGATGGAGTTCCTAGGTCCTGGCTTCTGCCTGACCCAGCCTTGGCTACTGCAGCCATTTGGGAACCAGTGGATGGAAAAAATCCACCTCCCCTGCCCCCTACCCTACCCTACTGTCTTCAAATAATAATCTTTTAAAAATATATTAAAATTGTAGGGGCCAGCACTGTGGCATAACAGGTAAAACCACAGCCTGCAGTGCCAGTATCCCGTATAGCCGCCAGTTCCGAGTCCCAGCTGCTCCACTTCTAATCCAGCTCTCTATGGCCTGAGAAAGCAGTGAAGGATGGCCCAAGTCCTTGGGCCTCTGCACCCGCGTGGGAGACCAGGAGGAGGCTCCTGGCTTGGGATCGGCGTAGTTCCGGCCAATGTGGCCATCTTAGGAATGAACCAGCAGATAGAAGACCTCTCCCTCTCTGTCTCTCTTCCTCTCCCTCTCCTTCTCTGTTTTATTTGAAGTCTGATGTTCAAATAAATAAAATAAATCTCTCTAAAAAAAAAAAAAAAAAGAAGAACGTTTGTATATTTTTACAAAGGTGTAGAGAAACCAAAACTCTTATACATTGCTAGTGGAAATATAACAGAAAATAATGCAGCCACTCTGGAAAACAGTTTGACAGTTCATCAAAAAGTTAAAAAGAGCCACCATACAAACCAGCAATTCCATTCCTAGAGTATATGAAATGAAAACATGATTCCACAGCAAACCCTATGCAGGAATGTTCATAGCAGCATTAAATCACGATAGCAAAAAAGTGGAAACAATCCAAATGCCTGTCAACTGACGGAGAGATAAAATGTGCTATATTCATGCAATGGAATACTGTTTGCCAATAAAAAAGAATGATACATACTACAACACCATACCATTCTTCAAAACATATTGGATAAGTCCATGGATATCAAATGTCCACACAAATTTACCCTAGTAATTAGATTTTAGATGAATGATTAGTCGTTTTTTAGGGCCACCAGGGGGCAAAGAATAAAGAGGTAAAAGGAGAATAAAGATTAACTGCTAGTGGGTATGGGATTTCTTTTAGAGGGGGGAGGGAAATGTTCTAAAATTAAATTGTCATGATGGTTGCATAATCCTGTGAACACACTGAAAAGCACTGAATTTTACACTTTAAATAGGTGAATTCAACATTAGTGAACTATATCTCAACAAAGCTGCTGGGGGTGGGGGAATCTTTTTCTGGCATGTTTTTGTATCTTCCCTCACTAGTGCCACAGGAACCATTCCCAACCCCCAAAGCTGGAACAGGAAAGGGAGAGCAAAATTAATGACTTCACCAGAAAGCAACATTACTGAAATAAATGATTTTCAAATCCATAATCCCTGGAAACACTAAGGTGTTTCTTTCCTAGTGGCTTCCACTGTTTCCAAACCATACCATTTATTCATTAAACATATTTAACAAAGATACACATATTATCCATTTAAAATGTTTTATATACCAAAAAAAAAAAAATTCTAAAATTCTACCACTTTCAACAAACCAAGTTCTTAGCTATACCCCACTCCTACTAAAATAAGGCCACGGCCAAGAAAAGAGTAACAGAAAAACAGGGAAAAAAGCAAACCAACAATCAGCCTGTTACTTTTAAGAGTGGTTAAATACTGAACCAACTGCCTCTTTTTCCTCCATGGTTTAGGACTATGGTCAATAAAACAGGTGGTAATGTGGGGGAAGGGAGCGTCCTGGCCAGACATCACAGAACTATAACTTCTTCCAAACCCAAAACCTTACTTCCTGCAATATATGTAAACAGATCACAGGCTACACTCTTCAAAACAAATCATAACCCAAGCAAGTAACACAGGATTCTATTTCTGGGCCTGTCATTAACTCACTGGATGATAATCTTGAAGCTTCAGTTTGTCTACTTGGTTCAATAAGTTAATCACAATACCCAGACCCAAAATCAGACTGGGGTCTAACAAAAAATGTTTTTCCAATATAAAAATTTATTTTTATGGAAAAATCTGGGAGAAACACATGAAATTAAGTCCCCTTTAAATCCTCCCTTATTGAATATACATGAAGTATGAAAAGTCCAAAAGATTGTCCACTCCAAAAATGCTGAACTCTTCCATTTTAGACAACTTTTAAAGGTACTCTCTAAACAAAGATAGAATGAGTGTTCAGAGGGCTGAATGATTTGGAGGCTTTAAATCTGAGCTCTGTTATATTTAGAAAACCAAGATGCCACCTCTGTATCTTTATCCAGGGCATTTGATTAATGTGCTTTGCCTGGTGTAATTCAAAGCAAGAGATTCTACCATACCTCTAAAAACTAAATTGAACCTATCAAAACTTTACTGGTTGTCAGAAGAATGAAATGCTGTACTGCAAATCAAGAGACAGAAAGTGATAAAGTTTCCACTGCTACAGGTATTTAACAAGATAAAAATTATCTTCCTGCTCCCCACAATCAGTTAAATTAAAACAGAAAGAAAAAAACATTGCTGACTTTCTAAGTTCTTAGCCATTCCTGGAAATTCTGATTTAGGAGTCTAGAAAGAAACCCAGAAATCTACTAATTAAAAGCATCTCAGAGCCGGCGCCGTGGCTCAATAGGCTAATCCTCCACCTTGCGGCGCCGGCACACCGGGTTCTAGTCCCGGTTGGGGCGCCGGATTCTGTCCCGGTTGCCCCTCTTCCAGGCCAGCTCTCTGCTATGGCCAGGGAGTGCAGTGGAGGATGGCCCAGGTGCTTGGGCCCTGCACCCCATGGGAGACCAGGAAAAGCACCTGGATCCTGGCTCCTGCCATCGGATCAGCGCGGTGCGCCGGCTGCAGCGGCGGCCATTGGAGGGTGAACCAACGGC